GCAGAAGCCCCAGTTTTATCTACAGTATGTCTTGTAAAAGCAGTTAAGATGTGTATAATTAAGAGCCCATGCTGGCATAGGTGTTTAGTCGAGTGTCTGTCACACAACCATGAGTGAGTTCCCAGTTTTTATGAGCTAGCTGGATTGTTCAGCACTTGAGAATGTACCTGCGGTTCTTAATTTATTTCAAATTTCAGAAATATTTTGGGTAAGTTGGCAAAATTCACTATTAGCACTACAGAAAACAGTTTGTTTAAATAAACAGATGCATGTAATTTTATTCTTAAGAACTTTATGTATTCACTTGCACTATTTATATATACAGAAAACTGCTAAAACTTTTCACTTTGGATGTATTAAAAAAAAGGAACTCTAAATATCGTAAGTTGGAAAAAAGACAATGATGGCTGGAGGATTGAGAAGGTAAGACAGTTGAACTTTATGCTGTATCTTACTGGTTATATCCTCCAAAATTACTTCAGTGCAACAGCAGCTCGTGTTCCCCTCCTGACATGAGGGAAAGCAGCACTGCCATTGCACATAAGACTTGCACATCACTGGTGTCTTTCACCGGACTTATTTATACCTAAAACTTTCTAAAAGGTCATTAAGGTAAGGGATGAAAAGCCCTTTTTAGCTCAATTCATGCCTTCCTCCTCAATTCATGCAGCTGCTTGATCAGGATTAGTCAGACCTCATTTTCAGTTGTTTTATTAATCATCTCTGTGTGTTAATGGCACTGCTTTTTCCACTTTCCTAGGCAGCATCAAGGGAGAATGGGATTTGTCACACCAAGGCTGAACTGAGACTAAGCTTCAACCCTTTGCATGAAAGCAGCTGAAGGAAGAATCTGCAGCAGTGAAAGCAATCAGTACCTGACTGCATGAGCCCGTGCCTCTCACACAGGGCAAATGATGCCTTAATTCAAGGACTTTATGAAATGCAAAGTCAGTGATTTACTTTTCTTGGAGCTGAGCAACCGGGGAGAGGGGAAGTTAAGCTTCCTACTCATTTCAAATTAAGATATATAGTTTGTTTTACTGTAAAGACTACAGAGGTCAAATAAAAAAAGGCAAAAACTTCCTTTTAGCATACAGGATCTTTTGTCCTTTTTAGAGACATGTTGAACTGACACTTAACATAAGCTGTTTCATACAGTGCAACATTTTTTCACAGCTAGAAATGGCCTCTAAAAATGTGAAGTTGTCAATGAAAAGCAATGCAACAGCAAAGTATATAATGCAGCAATACTTTTACATTATTGCAACAGCAATAATCCATGACTATCACTAAACCAGTAGAAAAGTAGCTGCTTATAAAGGCAGTGACCTAATTTTAAGTAAACAATACTGCTGCAGGCATTGAGTGTGGATAACTAACTTCAACTCTGTACTCCAGAAGTAAAGTGTTCAGCTTCAGGCTGATAAACTTGTGGTGCTAGGACCTTTTGGTTTATATTGTGTGTGTCTCAGATGGACTAATGGCTGGTAACTTGCCCTGGTTTTACACCCTTGACAGTTGCACGTGTGATCCAACAGAACTGTGGGACTACCAAGTTTCCTTTACTTGGACAAATACCAGAATTTGACCGGAGTGGGATTAAGTTCTATCCAGCATATGCACAAGATAGTATCAAGAAGCACTTAAAGAAGCTGCTTAAATTGACAATGATTTATTGTGTTTAGGAACATTCAATAAATACCAAGCTTTTGGCTTCAGTTTGGCAAGGTATCCCCATCAGAAATCAGTTGTTTGTGTGGTTGGTTGTTTTCTGGCATAAACTCCATTGCCAGCAATGGATATACCAGAAAAAGAATTTAATACATACAAACAGACAGCAGTTTTCTAAGCACACCTCCTCTTTAAAGGCTTGATACAGATTTACTAAACAAATCTCAAGTTCTTCACAGAAGAAAATTTTGCTACAAGCTGTCTATGAACATTGTTTTCTTCACTAATGCTGGTAGTTTATTTCATGGAGTACTGTATTTTTGAACAGTACTGTTGAAGCATTTAAAAACAAGCTTTTCCCCCCTTAAGATGAGACATGAAACTAGTACTGAACTGTGTGAATTTAAAGAGTGCTGTACCTCTTGCTGAGCATTTCACAGGATAGGTCAGGCTGGAAGGGATCACAGTGGCTCATCTGGTCCAACGTCCCTGCTCCAGCAGGGCCATCCCAGAGCACATGGCACAGAATTGTGTCCAGATGGTTCTGGGATATCTCCAGTGAGAGAGAATCCACACTCTCTCTGGGAAATCTGTTCCAGTACTTGGTTATTGCACAGTAAATTAGTTCTTCCTTGCATTCAGGTGGAACTCCCTGTGTATCAGTCTGCCCATTGTCTCTTGTCCTGCTGCTCAGCACCAGGGAGTAGAGCCTGATCGATCCTCTTGGCACTGTCCCTTCAAATACTGACAGATATTGATGACATCTCTGTCTCTCTTTGAGACTGAACAGGACCAGCTCCCTCAGCCTTTCCTCGTAAGAGATGCTGCAGTCCCCTCATCATCTTTGTTGCCTTCTTCTGCTGGACCTGATCCAGGAGCTCCATGCCCCTCTTGTCCTGATGAGCCCAGAACTGGACACAATGTGCCTCATCAGGGCTGAGCAGAGAGCCAGGATCACCTCCCTCAACCTGTTGGCAATGTTCTTCCTAACGCACCCTAGGATTCCATTGGCTTTCTTGGCCCCCAGGACACACTGCTGGCTCATGGACAGCTTGTTGCCCACCAGGACCCCCAGGTCATTCACAGAGCTGTTCTCCAGCAGGTCAGCCCCAGGCTGTACTGGTGCTCAGGGTTATTCCTCCCCAGGTGCAGGACCTGCACTTGCCCTTGAATTTCATGTCAACCATGAAAAAACAGCATATGATACTCTGTTGGTAGGAGTCTGGGGGATTTTGTTTGTTGGAGCTTGCTTTTAAACCACTGTTCAAATGTTAGTTGTATCTTTTAAATTTAACAGATGTTTTGTGTAACTCTCTGTGAAGTTTAAAAACACAATGGAAGAAACTTCCTCCTCATAGTGAGAATCACTTTCAAGTATTTGTATTTGAATATCCCTCTAAACTCCATTCATTTCATATTAAAAATGTGTTTTTTATAAAAGCATGAGGACTACAGAAAACAAATCAACATAACAGAGTTAATATTGCATAATTTTTTTCCACAACTGTATTTTACATATCACCAAACTTCTGCTTTAGCAAAAGCAAAAAAGAATAAAAATAAATTCTCTCCCAGCTATTTACATTCAGGAATTACTCTGCTGTGGGACCAGACACTTTACTCTACAGTCCCTCTAACCCAAGGTGTATTCTTGGGTGTATCCTTTTGTGGTTTAGAGTCTTGGAAGTTTTCAGCAAACCTCTCTCTTGCTTTATCCCAGTTCTTTTTATTCTTGCTCTGGATGAGCTGAACATCAATTGAGGATGGTCTGCTGGCACCTAAACCTGCATGCATCTGATGGAGCTCAAGTTGGATCTGTGAAATACATTAAATATTATTGTAACTGCAAGTTAGGTATTCTAAATGCTTCAAATCTTACTTTTTTTAGTACAGATTCCACCCCTCACTCCCCAAGAACTTCTCTTTCACACCTTCTCTAATACACCTAAATCATATGTGAACAGTACCATTCGATGATGTGTCAAATCACCACCTCCAGAACTATGATCTAGAGAGCTGAATGATGTCACCTGCCACTGACATCACTGTGAAATACACCTCACTGAGTGAGCAGCACATGATCCCTGTGCTGGGTAGTTGGACAATACAAGGCATAGTGTGGCTCTGAGCAGCACTACTGCCAGAAGACAACACATCTCTGGTAGCAAAAAGTGGGACTAATAGGGCTGACACAGAGGTCCACAGCTTGGTGGCCACACCAGCTAGTTTCTTCCCCTCTCGTGGCCAACCATCTTGATTTTTGTGCTACATCACCCTCAGAGAAAGTGAAGAATTCCACCCTAAGCCCATCTTGAATTCACATCACTTAAATGATGTCAATCTTCCTCCAGACATTGTACTCAAATCTGAGATTATTAATTCAAAGGCTAGAAGCTATGTATGTCTTTATGTCCATGTATAGGATCATATGTCCTCCTTGCTTAGTTTCCTGACAAACACAGACACCCCTGACATTTCCCACTGAAGAGACAACACCCATTGAAACATTTCAAACTACTTCACTAGTCAAGTAAAAAATTATTGGAGATTAGTCCTACTGAGATTATTTATTCCTTCCTAACCATGATTTTGAAAGTGAATAATGACATACAATTAGACATTTTTCACTGCAAATACATTTCTGCTCTTTTTGTTTCAAGTAGAAACCAGAAAGACCTACCGGATCCTTCATACCACCACCATCCTTGCCCAGGCCTTCTCCCTTCTTCCATCCCATCTTCTCCAACATTTTATGCCCTTTGTTGCTGTTGCTGATTTCACTTTGAAGAGAGTTTGAGAGAACTGATTAGCAAGAGTTAATATACAGAGAATGCTCTGAAATACTGAATGACAGAAATGTATGTGCTCTAGAAACCACGAATCAATTACTCTGCTGTTCCTACTTCCATCAAGAGCTATCCAGAAGACCTTAGTGCTCCTTTTCCAAGTTCCTCCATGAATATCTTTGGTTAACAAAACTATTCAAAGCCTCTGGTCAATACCACCTTTCTTCAAACTCCTTCTAAACAACTTGGTTGCTTCAGGAGTTAAGATACATCATGGGTGGGTGGGAAATGACTGCACTAGGGAAAAGGCAGCATTGCTGCCAAACCATTCCTGACACACCTATTTCATTGTCTCACACTTCCTTTTATTTGTTTACAAGCTCCTACAAGTTCATGTCTCTTATAAAAAACCCACCCCAAGTACAATGACAGAGGCAAAGTAAGAACTGAAGAGGAAGATTAAAGTAAATGTCATTTAAGAGGGATGTAAATACCTGTCCTATGACAGGATGGATATTGACAGTGAAAGTAGCTGCAGGTGAAAAATCTGCATGTGTAGTATTACCAGGACTGAATAGGAAGCACAAAAACTGAGCCACTTGAAAAACAGACACTGTGAACACATCAGTAGTGCAGCTGAGTTCTCTGCTCTGTTTGAGTTGGTAAGGAAGGTATCTAAGCATCCTTACTGCCAGGCTGAATTCTGTATGGAAGATAAGGGGTTAACAAAAGAGATGTGAAATGGGAAGTGTGAATAACTTACAATTTTCTACCTCTCCTAACATGTTGTATACACAAGTAATTCGTAATCTAACAAACTGCTGTTGACAAACTGATACCTTACAATCACTTTTTAAAGATTCACTAGAGAAGGGCATGAGGGATGCAACCTCCTACACCCACCCCAACTTACATATGAACAGAAGCTGGACTATCATCTCTCTGGAAAGTTCCTTCACTTCCAAAGGTCTCCCTGCGTTTTCCTGCTCTGTCTTTGTACTTTGGATTCTTCACTGCTTTGTTGTCTTCATACTCTGTATTCTTCACAAGGAGATTTAATTCCATCAGGACAAAGAAAGCAGGGTTTAAATTCTTCATTTTTTATAACATTTTCCCTCCAAAAGTAAGGCAGCTTCAGCATATTTCATTAATTCTAAGTCTTATAACAGAATACTATAGGTCTCACTGGGTACTTTCTGATCTTACAGCCATACCTCTATAAGGCATGTTATTGTCATCATATAATAATGTAACATAGCCAAATTCAGTAATTTCACAGAAGCTGTGCATAAAACAACAGATTCTCTTGAATCTTCTCTTGGCATGAGGAATCAATCTCCCTATACTGAGCAGAAAACCACGTGGACGTGTCACAGGGCTTTATACAAACATCTAGCCTATTCCTCAGCAACTGTTTTTTCAGAACAGATGACAGAACTAAGCATATCTACAGGTTCTGTATCAATACTACTCTCAAGAGTTTGAGAGAAACAGTGGCACTCTCTTCTCTACATGAATACTTACTACGTATGCTAGATGTAACCCCATACGTACAACTATCTCTAAACCAGAAGGAACTTGAATACCTATATATTACATTCCCTCTATGGTCACATTGGCATTCTTCCATGGACTTAAAAACTTGAAAAAATTCCCTCTTCCTTCCATCATTTTTTCAATTGATCAGGACTTTTCCTTTCCAAATTAGAGACAGCACAGCAATACAGTGCAAACTTCACTGGCAGAAATGCAAACAGAAATGCCTTGTGAAATCTTAACCTTAAAAGGATTAGGAATATTGTACATACTGGAAGGATGTGGGAGTATGGATTAGACAGGAAGCTGAACATGAGCCAGCAGTGTGCTCAGGTGGCTAAGAAGGCCAATGGCATCCTGGCCTGGATCAGGAACAGTGTGGTCAGCAGGACCAGGGAGGTGATTCTGCCCCTGGACTCAGCGCTGGTGAGGCCACACCTTGAGTACTGTGTGCAGTTCTGGGCCCCTCAGTTGAGGAGGGACATTGAGGTGCTGGAGCAGGTCCAGAGAAGAGCAACGAGGCTGGTGAAGGGACTCGAGCACAAGTGCCATGAGCAGAGGCTGAGGGAGCTGGGGGTGTTCAGCCTGAAGAAGAGGAGGCTCAGGGGAGACCTTATCACCCTCTACAACTCCCTGACAGGAGGTTGGAGTCAGGTGGGGGTTGGTCTCTTCTGCCAGGCAACTAGCAGGAGGACAAGAGGGCACAGACTCAAGCTCTGCCAGGGGAGGGTTAGGTTGGATATAAGGAAGAGGTTTTTTACGGAGAGAGTGATCAGACATTGGAATGGGCTGCCCAGGGAGGTGGTGGATTCACCATCCCTGGAGGTTTTCAAGCTGAGACTGGATGTGGCATTTAGTACCATGGTCTAGTAACCACAGTAGGGTTGCACTTGATGATCTTGGAGGTCCTTTCCAACCTGGCTGATTCTATGATTCCATGACCTTTTCCTAAAGTTCCAATGGAACTTTCATGCCTTCTTACCATCATCTCTCTCTGTACAGGTTTGTAAAGACTTTTTATTTAGGGTACAAAAGCCAAGCTTCAGTTAAACTACCAGGCTCAAATTTGAGTGCATTTGAAAACCTCCCTTATTCAATTCGAGTTTGTGGCATAAAATAGGAATCACAAAGTATTACAAAAACCCAACAGGAATCCCAAGATTTCAAAAGCTTAATCAACTTCTACTGTGAACTCACCTGTAAACCATATTTTACCCGTATTTGTTTTAATGCTTTTCTTCTGACTAACTCTCTCTCTTCTTTGCTAAGCGCTGGACAAACTAAAAGGAAGAACACAAGACCGAATTGTCAATTACTAATGTACCAATGTTTTGATACATAAGACAAGTCTAAGAATTTTTGTTCTAACATAATGTTAAGCAGATTACCTAGATGTATGTCTAAACACAGACATATACCAAGAAGGAAATACATAATTATGTATAACTATTCCCAGCTGACAAGAAAACTAGAAGGAAACTGAAGTAATAATTATGTTTATACAGTAAACAGCCAGAATAAAAAACATCCTGTGATAACAGGACTAACCAGAAGATTCCTTTTTCCTGTCCAGGCGAAGATGTGCTCTGACTTGTCCTGGTTCACATCCATCACAAGTATCACTGCCAGGATGGATATGAAAAGAAAGCACAGTTTCACCAATCTTCACCTCATCTCCATGCTCCAAGATGTAGGGATCACATTTTGTTTTGGGCTGCAGCAAAAGGAAGTTTGATAGCCACGTTAATTAGTTACTCATGAAGGACACAAAGTCTATTTGCTTTTAATGTAGTAATCCAGCTTGGTCTCACAAATGCAGATACAGTGGGTATTTCAAAGAGTGTGACAGCAGGTCAAAAGAGGTGATTCTTCCCCTCTGCTCTTGTGAGAATCCAAACGGAATACTGCACACAGTTCTGGTGTCCTCAGCATAAGAAGGACATGGAACTGTTGGAGCAAGTCCAGAGGAGGCCATGAAGTTGGTAAGAGGACTGGAGCATCTCCCCTATGAGGACAGGCTGAGGGAGTTGGGGCTGTTCAGCCTGGAGAAGAGAAGACTGTGTGGAGACCTCATAGCAACTTTTCAATATCTGAAGGGGCTACAAGGAGCCAGAGAGGGACTCTGTGTTAGGAGCTGCAGTGACAGGACAAGGGGTAACAGGTTCAAACTGAAGGAGGGGAAGTCTAGGTTAGATGTGAGAAAAAATGTTTTTCCTGTGAGGGTGGTGAGACACTGGCACAGGTTGCCCAGGGATGTGGTGGCTGCCCCAACCCTGGCAGTGTTCAAGGCCAGGCTGGATGAAGCCTTGAGCAACCTGGTGTGGTGGGATGTGTCCCTGCCCAGGGCAGGGGGTTGGGACTAGATGATCTGTGAGATTCCTTCCAACCCTTCTTTAGCAACTGCAACCACAGTGGATTTCTCATACTATAAACTAAATGAAGTACTGTAACTGGCCCTAAAACCAGAAGGGAACCAAGGAAGACATTGATGCATGAAAGAAGCCACACAGTAGCATTGTTAGTGGTTTGCCATAACACATTTAAAATGACCACAAGACTACAGTTCAACATACAGGTATTATAACCATAGGCACTCACCTGGAGAATCTGATTCCCATTAACAACTGTTCCATTCTGACTGCCTTGATCCACAAGAACATAGTTTTGCAAATCATGGTCAAAATACACTTCTGCATGGAACTGATAAACAGAGGACTAAGTGAAATGTTTTTGTTAAGCAAATACTTCACAATTTAAATTTTAAAGTAAGATTTCAGAATGTATTTTGAGACCTTTTAAATGAGGACTGGTACTCTTAAGTTAAGTACTTTTAAGTCAAGTACTCCAAGTTAAGTTAAATACTCCAAGTTAATGTTCTGCCAATTGACAGGGACAACAGAAATAGCACAGACACCAACAAAAATAGGTTTATTTTACTATTGGTGTTTTAAGATAATCGAAAAATCAACAATATATTCACATATAAGGTTAGTTTACTAAGCTCTAATACAAACAGCACAACCAACAAAGACAATAAGAAAGGCAATGCAATTAATCATTACTACACACAGGAAATAACAGTGATTAAGAAAGATACATTACCAATTGCCCCAATACTTTCCCACCCCCCCCAGACCCTGGTTGCAATGAGGGTTTGGAGAGCCTTTCCCACAACTGGGAAGTCCTACGCAGTGTGTCTACTCAGAGCTGCAAGAGGCTCTAGCTTTTATAGGCCAAATCAATAGGCTAAAAATAACCTGCATTGGTTTTGGTTTGATGCAGAAAACCATCTGCTGGTACTCCTCTCCAATCACCTGTGGCTGGAGCTTGGCCAGAGCCCAGGACATGGTTGGTGGAGTTTCCTAAAGTATGTTGCAGGAAGCTGCATGGCCTTGGAGCTTCCTTTGTTCAAGATCAAGCAGCTTGTTCACTCATAACAACAACTAACATAAATAGCTTGCTAAATCTGTATCAATTATTAGCAGTTTGCCCAACTAGCACAATCACAAGATGGTCACGATTCATCTATAGGTCAACTCTGGCTTGGGCCTAATGTCCAGGCCGTAACATTTCAGTTAAGTACTCTGGTACTCTTAAGCTAATGGAGTATTCCACACCTTATGATTTCATCCATGTGAAATGTAACTGGATGGGCCACAACAGCATGAGCTCAAGTACTATTAATAATTAACTATTTCGACCATAAACTGATTCAGTACTGGAAAACTCTGTACTTCCAATGTGGAATTTAAAAGAACTGCAAGATTCAGTGATGCAGCATTTTTAACTCTTCCTACAAATAACAGGCTTTTTTGCTTTCAAAATACGCCACAATACTCTCAATAAAACCAAAATCTGATCTCATTGTACCACTCCAGGTTACTTGGTCTTTCATATCTGAAATAGCTCCCTAAATGCCACATTTTTGTAAAAATTACCTGCATAATTTAATACCCAGGACACAGTGACTAGTCATCACTTGCTGTTTCCTTCATACCCTTTCTGATATTGATTTTGTTTGCTTGTGGTGTTGTTGCAGTTCCATATAGGTATTGCTCCCAAACCCAGACAGAACAGAGAAAACACAACTCCTTACCAAACACACACAGACAGACACTAACTACCTCCAATATAGACTGAACAAACCAAAGTACCAACTTTTCCAGCCTACTCAGACTTCCAGTAAAAACAGTGAGTCTAAAACAAGTGACTGTTTCAAATTTGACAAGCAAAGATACATTTTGCTATAGTAAAGGAAAAAATCCACAAGAATCAATCTGGGAAGAAGGTGTTACCTCAAAGCCAATTATCTTCTTATCTTTGAGCAACAGCAGTTGCTACATTCAGTAAATGCAAATAAAAATAATCAAAATAGTTTTTTTGTAGACTAGCTAGAATTTATAAAGGAATACTCCCATAATAATGAAGACTGACTAGTTCATTCAACAGATAATTTAATAAGTTGTCCACAGCTATGAACTATGAACCGTGAGGAAAAAACTGGTACATAACTTCTTGTTTCTACAGATATGTCATTTATCTTTCTGCCTTTAACTCCTTATCTGAAAAGTGAAGTAACTTCTTACATAAACTGTCAGTGCCTGTGAAGTATTAAAATGGTAACATCACAGAAAAATAAAAGTCTTTTGGCTGCTTTATTCACCCAGTTTCACATACATGCCTGAAAAAAAAGTAATTAGTAGCAGGGAAATATGTACTCTGGAAATTACTCATTATGATATATGGTTGATTAATCAGAACTATCACCTGAAATAGACATTTTTCATGAGATACTTGGACTTAGAGACGTTTTCAGCAGGTTTTTTTGTTTAGATGACACGTGTTTGTCAATCTACATTGTTCTTTTATTAAGAGTGCTATATTTAGGGTCTGTGTTAAAGTATTTAGCAAAACAGATAACATAGCTTTAATCTCTCTTAACCAGAACAAAAATTCTCCATTCAATCTACCATTGAAAGGAATTCTGTTAATTTTTTTAACTCCTTGTACATCAGTTAGACATTTACACACAGTTGCCTTGAAGAAAAATAAACTCTTTTGCTCTGAGCATAACTGCAAGGATTGCATTACTTTATAACAAAGTTATTACTAGTTGACATAAATATTTTATCTACTATTAGTACTCAACAGAGTAGGAAGTTCTCAAGTTCAGTAACTATGAAATTCAAGATTCCAAATACAATTTTTTTTACTATGCATTACACTATGGATTAGTAAAAAGTATTAGTAAAAAGTGGATTTAAACAAGTATTTAGGTTTTCTAGACTCTGAAAACAAACTTTTGTTTGGGTTAAGTTCCCATACAGTGTAAGGACACACAGACAAAATACTGTGTGTTTTCCTCTTTGTCAATTCAAATGTGGCAAAACCACATCCCACTCTGAAAGTTCTTTCCAAAAATTAATGTAAGATTTTCCAAATTTAATGCCATCAAATCTAAAGCTTCATTCACACATTTATTTCTGCTGATCTAGCTTTAAGCAGACACAAACAAGAGTTACCTTACTGACTCCAACTTCAGGAATTTGAAGTGTGTGTCCAACATCTTTTTCTCTGAAAAGGCAAGTTCATATACAAATTACAACCAAGCAGAAATAAGTCTAATTAATGGCTTAAAAAAGGTGTATTTTAGATGAGAATTAATATCATGTTTCTCTTCTAAGCTATTAGGAATCTTCAGAGATATAAACCACTGTGTTGCTACATACACAATATAAAGACTTGCTTCAGGTCCTTCTTCCATTTGCATAAATTATACCTGCAATGAGTAGATGATACAGCAGTAACATTAAATTCTTATCCATAAACCTGACATTCCTGTCTGAACTTTTATACTCACACAACACTTGTAATAACAGTGTGAACTCTGCATCCTTCAGGCTCTTCAGTGCATCTTGGCATCAGTGCTCAATGCTGTGGGTGAATTCTGGGCAGCATTAGGCAGGTAATATAAGAAAGAGCAATCTTACAGGGGTTGTTTTGGTTTTTGTTTTTTTTGGTCAAAAACACTGGAGTAGAAGGGAGGGATTTGTGTATTAGTTTCTTATACTAGGGGGTGAAGAAGCAATGCAGCTAGCAAAGGACCTATATGAAAATTCCATGTAGAACTGTTACTTCTTGATTGCATTGAACTTCTTGTCTAAAAACAATGAAAAAATCTCACTGAAATTTGAAGGTGTGAGGAAGTCACAGGCAGGTTAATGGCTGGACTTGATGATCTTAGAGGTGTCCTCCAACTTTGATGTTTCTATGATTCCAAGTCTAGGATACCCTTCCTTGTGATCCTGAATTTCTCAACGGTGTTCTTCCATTTCTAGAATAATTACTTCAGTGACCCAGAAAAGTTTACTGACTTTATAAAAAACAAGTTTTCAAAGAAAGACGTGCGGCCCTGCTGTCATTAGGGCTCAGACAAGATCAAGTTATCACTAATAAATTTTCACAACTGCTGAGCTGCATTAACTGTGTTAATGCTGTTACGCTATCATGGCAAAATTCTGTTATGTGACATGACTTGAATTTCTTACTGTGGACTAATCCAACAGGTGTTAGTAAAGGGCCTTGACATGAAGCCATGAGGAGCAGCTGAGGACACTTGGTCTGTTCAGCCTGGAGAAGAGGAGACTGAGGACAGATCTCATCACGGTATACAACTCCCTCCTGAGGGGCAGTGCAGGGACAGCACTGACCTCTGCTCTCTGTGACCAGTGACAGGATCCAAGGGAATGGCCTGAAGTTGTGAGGATTGTGAAGACATGAGGGTTTACATTGGATATTAGTAACAGGTTCTTCCCCCAGAGGTGTTTGAGCACTGGAACAGCTCCCTGGGGCAGTGGTCACAGCCCCAAGCCTGACAGAGCTCAAGGAGTGTTTGGACAATGCTCTCAGGTCCAGGGTGGATTGCTGGGTTGTCCTGGGCAGGGCTAAGAGTTAGACTCGATGATTCTCATGAGTCCCTTCCAACTCTGAATATTATGTGATTCTGTGAACTCAGACCACCTCACAATTGCTGCATACTGGGAGGATAAGCATGAAGAGTAGGGACAAGCAATCCTAAGCGCTTTCTACAGCTTCCAAAGTGAAGTAATTTCATATATACATATATAAAACAAACACAATCAGTTTTACCTTCCAATGGTAGCAGGTTTCACAGCTGTGATAATATAAAGCGATCCAGTCTGTAGAACTGGTGATCTTATTACAATTACTCTGATGCAAGGAGGCCAGATCTTTTCTTCCTCTATAATGATAAAAACATACCCCACAACCACCATTATTACCAATAAATAACAGTTTTACCCCTATAATCCATAGTTTTCAAACACCTGATATACTCAGCCATTACCTGTCTGAATGCCATGCAACTTTCATGAAAAGAAATGTATAACCACATCTGAGAGAAAACTGTTCCAAAGGCTTTCTGACTGCACACTAAAAGCATTACAAATGCTTTCCTGATTCTGTTTATTTACATGTACACAAGTCTTTGGTTACAGCAATGAAATATAAATCCATTCAGAGAATTTACTAGCATACTATAAATCTATGGGTCATTAATTGTAGCAGATTAGAAGACAATTCTGCTCTGAGAAAAGGCACCACTTTTTATTCACATCACAGGACTAAAGCACGTAGAACTTTATATTTGAAAACTTCTATGTCAAATACATTTTTGCTAGTTTTTTTCTTATAGCAGTATGCATCAAGATAAGAAAAAAGAATAGAGCCCAGATTCATAAGCTTATTCACCCCATTATCTGTCAAGATATTATATTCTAATAGCTGTACGAATTCTGTACTTGGATGTACATTTGCAGACTCCAATAATCTCAGCTAGGAACAGAGATAAGATGGGAAGACACTAGCTTAAAAGGTACTAGGGGAAGAGAAATTGTCGCCAGTTTTTATTACTTCAGCATTACTGGAGAACTGGATAGTAATGGTAGCAGCACATTTTGATTGGCATTAATTTCTTAGAATCTGAGTAGTTAAGTAATGAAAACATAAGAAACAAACTGACTATTTAACCGTGAGCAGGAGAGAGACTGCTGTACAGTCTTCCACAGGTTGTATTTCATCTGTGATTTGGTATATCCTTTGCATATACGCAGTTCCAATTGGTTGCATTAAGCTTTTCACAGGTTACCTTTACTTATTTCTTTATTTTTTTTTGCAAGAGATCCTTGAATTCTTGAGGAGTTAAGGACTTAGAACACTTTCTGTGGTATAAAACAGTACACAGGTTTCCCCTCTATACCCATTTCTTACATGTTGCCACTGGAATACACACAACATAGGATTTCAGCTAGTACTGATTACTCCAAGTTCCTTTTCATCACAGTAGACTCATCTTGCATTAAATTATACAATGGTTTATGAACAGTATCAGAAATAGTATATACTAACAGTTAATACACAGAATTATTCTGAGTTCTGTTCTAGAATATTTTAACAGCAGACTTTCTTTTCTCCTTTCACTATCCTAGTCTAACCAAATTTTAATCAGCCACTGAGATTTCTACACAAGCACAGGATGTTATAAACAGCTTTTATAAAAACACCACTGCTTACTTCTGTGCAAGTGAGGAGAAGGAAAGAAACACTAATAGCATGTAGCACTTAATTCAAAGTGTCTTAAATAACGTGTTTTATATGTTTTTTTAAAATTATCCAAACTGCTACTTGTTCTTAACAGGCCTCTGGAAAAATACTGTACTAGGACATATAAACCACAATATTCACCTTCATTTTCTGAGTCTTCTGAATCATTACTTTCTTCACTGGTTAATTCCTCGTCCTCACTGTAGGTTTCACACTCAGAATCTGTAATTTCACCTTCCTCTGGCTCACTCTCTGTGTCTGCTGTCCTGCTGTCGTCCGTGTACGCAGCAGTGTCTGGTGTGCTCTTGCGTGAATGCGAGTTCACGCCGTCTGTAGAAACTGATTCTTTGGCTGTTAGGCTGTTCCGTGGTTTTCTGTCCATTTTAGTCTTCTTTCGCATATATGGAGACTCATCTTCCTCCGCAGAACTTACTTGCTCAGTAGTGGAAATGCAATTCAGGCTGTTAGATTTCTGCTCTTCTGTGTCCAAGTCCTGGAGGGAATTAAAGAATGTTAAGAGTCTTAACAGATTGAGTTTTTCTATCAGCCTGGAAGTAAATTCTTCACTCGGAAAAATTATTTTTAGGACTCTTAAGAAATGGTTAAATTTCCAGACAGGTTTGCACATGGACTCACCAGAACATCTCAGTACAAACATTTTCACATCCTATCATACAATCATAGAATCCACTGGGTTGGAAAA